TCGGACGCTCAACCGACTGCGCCACCCAGGCGCCCCGAGTTTCCCCTCTTTAATGCTAGGATTGTCAAGTACCTGAATCGCCTGTAATTGCTCACTGGTTTCCTGTCTCCCTTACTCATCTCAGCTTCCTGAGGGCAGGGACAGGTCGCTCTGTCCTCTGCTGCATCCCGGCACCTGCCTGCTGCGTAGCAGGGACTCAAAACATACTTGTAAAATAAACGAAAAAATGAATACAGGTAAAAAATAATAAACAATAAGGTGAGAGGACTTGGGATCGCAAAAATGTTTTCCTTTTGAAGGGAAATAATAGGCAGGGACGGGAAACATCGGAAAATCAAGCAGCCAATTGTGGGGAAATAGGTGCTGTTTATATAAATGGGTTAGAGGAAAGCTTAGGGCAGAAAGTCACCATCACGGGGCAAAAGTGCCTGAGGTTAGCTAGTGAGATATTGTAATGGAATCACAAGTAACTTGTTATGTCAGCTGCAGGAAATTACTTTCCACCTGATGCCAATATATTATCACAAACTCCACTTGCCTCCCAGACCCTTTGTTCTTACACACACCGGTTAATTGCTATCTGATTGTTTTCTTCACATTCACACGGTGGGTAATACCTTGTGAGCTCAAGAAACACGAAGATGAGGGGCGCCTGGGGGGCGCAGTCGGTTAAGCGTCCGACTTCAGCCAGGTCACGACCGCGTCCGAGTCTTCTGGCAATCACTGAGTTTCGAGGCCCCGTCAGGCTCTGGGCTGATGGCTCAGAGCCTGGAGCCTGTTTCCGATTCCGTGTCTCCCTCTCTCTCTGCTCCTCCCCCGTTCATGCTCTGTCTCTCTCTGTCCCAAAAATAAATAAACGTTGAAGAAACACGAAGATGAAACCCCTGTTAGTGGCTCTTGTCTCCTTCTGGACGTTAGCCTCTCTTGTATTCAATTCTGCGTCTGCTCTCGCTGGACAAGAGAGCCCTCCAGACTCATAGTCTGTGACAGCCAATCAGAAGAATCTGATCGAGTTTACCTATTGCTTGGTGCTTTCAATATTGCTCTGACTTCAGCAGGAAGCAGCTCAGAACCCAGAGGGACTCCCCACCGCAATGCTGCCAAAGTGATTGCTTCTCCACTCATTAAAATGTATGGGGCTTACACTATGTGCCAGGCGTTGTTATGGGTGCTGGGAATATAACTATAAACAAAGCAAAGAGTCCTGCCTTTGTACAGCTTACCTTCAAGTGGGGGAGACAGAAAATGAACAGAGAATCATATACCTATATACAATATGGTACCAGAGTGATAAAGGCTGAAAAGGAGTACAGAGTAAGAAGATAGAGAGGGACAGAAGATGCTGCTGTTTTTCTTTAATAAAGTTTATTAAAACTTTATTTAAAAAGTTTATTATTGGGGCGCCTGGGTGGCGCAGTTGGTTAAGCGTCCGACTTCAGCCAGGTCACGATCTCGCGGTCCGTGAGTTCGAGCCCCGCATCAGGCTCTGGGCTGATGGCTCAGAGCCTGGAGCCTGTTTCCGATTCTGTGTCTCCCTCTCTCTCTGCCCCTCCCCCGTTCATGCTCTGTCTCTCTCTGTCCCAAAAATAAATAAACGTTGAAAAAAAAATTTTTTTTAAAGTTTATTATAAAGATGCTGTTTTGATAGGGAGGTGAAAGAGGCCCTCTCTGAGGAGGTGACATTGAAGCAAAGATCTGAAGGAAGGGGTTGAGCCTACCAGGCACCGACCTGAAAGAAGAGTGTCCCAGGAAAAGGGGCCAGCAAATGCAAAGGCCCTAGGGTGGAAACATGCTTGGGGTGTGCTTTGTCAACCTCCTGTGAGCACAGAGCTGTCCAACTCTCTGCTCTTGTGCCTTGCTCCAGCTACTTCTCTACTACTGCAGCTCCCACCTCCTCTACCCTGCCCTCTTGCCCAGCCCCACTGTTCTAGCAAACTCTTGCCTCTATGCCTATATTCAAATCTTACTTTTTTTTTTTTTAAGTTTATTTCTTTATTTTGAGAGGGACAGAGACAGAGCGAGCAGGGGAGGAACAAAGAGAGGAGACAGAGAATCCCAAGCAGGCTCTGCACTGGCAGCACAGAGCCTGAAGTGGGGGGGCTCCAACCCACGAAACTGAGATCATGACCTGAGCTGAAACCAAGAGTTGGCTACTTAACTATGCCACTCAGGCACCCTCAAATCTTACTTCTTACACTTTGCCCTATCTCCCGCATCTATTTCCTCACAATGCTCATATTTCTGTTACAATAATCATCACATTGTACTATCATTTTTTAAAATCTATTTGTCCCAGTTGTCAGTGACCTTGTTAACAGAAGACTGTCATATTCATCTTTGTATTCTTGGTGCTTAGCGAGTGCTGGGCCCCCAAAATGCTGATCAATCGCTTTTTTAAAAAAAATTTTTAATGTTTATTTATTTTTGAGAGAGAGAGAGCGCAAGTGGGGAAGGGGCAGAGAGAGAAGGAGACACAGAATCCGAAGCAGGCTCCAGGCTCTGAGCTGTCAGCACAGAGCCCGAAGAGGGGCTTGAACCCATGAACCATGAGATCATGACCTGAGCTGAAGTCGGATGCTTAACCCACTGAGCCACCTAGGCACCCCGACTTTTTTTTTTTTCAGAGAGAGAGAGAGAGAGAGAGAGGGCGCAAGTGAATGAGGGGCAGAGAGAGAGACAGGGAGGGAGAGAGAAACAGGGCTCATGTTTTACCCAAAGCGGGGCTCAAGCTCACGAAACCGCAAGATCATGACCTGAACCAAAGTTAGATGCTTCACAGACTGAGCCACCCAGGCACGCCCAGTTGGTTGATCTATTTATGTGAAATGTGCAGGATAGGCAAATCCATAGAGACAGGAAGTGGATTCCTGGTTGCCAGGGGCTGGGAGGGGCGGGCAGGAGAATGACTGCTAAATGGGTACAAGGTTTCCTTTTAGGGTGTTGAAAAGGTTCTGGAACTACATAGTGGTGATAGTTGCACAACACTGCGAATGTACCAAACACCACTGAATTGTACACTTTAAAACGGTTAAAATGGTGAATTTTATGTTATGTGAGCTTTGCCACACCCCCCCCCAAAAATGTTGGTTGAACTGGGGGTGGAGT